GGGAGAAGGGTGCAAGAATGAATGAATGGAACCCCAAAATCTCTGTAGATGTTCATTGAAATGAAAAATGAACAACCTAAATTAAAAAAACAAATAAACAAACAAATAAAACCCCCACTATTGTAGAATGAGTAAGAGCATTTAAGGAGGGGTGAAAGCAGAGGGGTGAGGATATGCAGGGTGTGGGGGGGAATTAATCATGGAGTTGCACAATGTGATGGGTGGGGAAATGGGAAGGAACTGGTGTGAAAAACAATGTATTCGAATTTTGTAGATAAACTAGTGTAATAAAACAAAAAAAGAAAGAAAAGATTTATGGTCTCAGAAATCTTGATGGAGGATTGACATTAGTCAGAGTTAATTTGATGGCAGTGCCTTTGGTTCTTTGAGACTAAAGGCTAGTAATTGTTTAAACGATGGGTAGAACTGTATATGGAAATGTATCTTCCAGAAAGTACTGTAAGACAAGGAGCAGCAGACTAAAGGAATCTTTTATGGTCAAGGCACAACTTTGAAACCTTTCCAATTAGCAGAACTCTTCCATTTGCTAAACAACATGCCTTTGGAAACTATGAAAATCAGAGAAATGATGATAGTGATAGAACAGGGTTCAGATCGTTTGTTTCTAGAGTAGCTATGAGTTGTGCTAAACTCAACACTTAACAACTTCTCTTTGACTTTCAGGTTTGTTCCAGATTATGAAAAGAGGACATTCTTTGCTTAGGTGTTTGTCAGAAAACTCTTCATCTTAGTGAAAAACCACTAGTCCCACAGAAGACCAACAAAGGATTTTTTTTCCCTTTTGAAAATGCTGTAAAACAGGTCCTTGTCTTTTAAACCAAGATAGTGAGAGGCAAAATACTCTCTTTCCTTTGGATAGGCGTGCTTTTCAATTGTTTGGAGGTGGTCACACATGGACCTTCATATAAACTTAGGTCTTTCATTTAAAAGAAAAGAAGAAAAGAGAATTAGTCCATTAGTTATTTAAAATACTTGGTGCAACTGTTCCTATTAATTAATCTGGGCACTTGGAAGACAATTACACTCCGTTTTAATAACCTTACCCACCTTTTCCAGTGTGCTGCTCTCTAAATACTATTGTGTTTTCGTTGACAACATTCACTATTACATATGCATGTGAAAAACAGGCATTTTCATCAGAATTACCGTAATAGCATTAAGAGATTATTATTTTTTCCAATTTTCTTGGAAGAAAATTTACTTAAATTAGATCATTTATTACTTGACTGCTCGCCTATCTTGCCTGTATATTCACGGGACTGGAGTCCATGTAAGTATAGACTTCAGAATAAAAAGCATGATTTTATACATTAATGATTTCAAATAAAAGAGGAGTGCTACATTCGTGCATGACTTCTTTTGAGAAAGTTAAATCTGTGTTCTGCTTAGGAGAGATAACACTTTTGTCCCTGTAGGTGGCCCCCCTGGTGTACCCATTAGTTGCTAATTACTTGCAAACAAATAAACAATTAACTCCTCAAGCCGCTGGGTGGGAGAGTGTTCATTGACATGCTAAAACTTTCTAAGACAGGATTTTAATTAGTGACGTTCTAAATCCAGCCCCCTTGTCAGCGAAGCTATAAGGTGAACGGCAGGAAGATCCAGCCGGTACACGTGGGTCAGGGACGCAGAGAGGAGGGGAGAGCTCCGGCTGACTCTCAGTAGCCCACTCGAGGATGTCTCCCAGCCTTCAGGAAGGCGCTCAGCTTGGAGAAAGCAAACCCTCATCTAGCTCCTTCTCAATCGAGAGCATTTTAGGACTGAACCAGAAGAAAGAGTGTACTCCATCTGTGAAACCTCACAGGCCCTGGGGAGACACCTGCAGCTCATCAGGTATGCCACAACTTAATTTTTAAACTCTTAGACATTCATTCTATTTGTAGTGTTTCATTTGTGCTTGCTTTCTTTCTATGCGGAGTTAGAGAGAAACAGTGGTTTCGTCCAGTTACATGGCTGAAACATACAAGATTGTTAACACCCTCAAGGAATTAAGTTGTGAGAGACACAAAAGAGAATCAGTTCATTCAAACTGTATAAAGATATATATATAAAATTCCAAGAACTTAACAATTTACTTCTGAGGATCTTTCTGTATGTACTTGATACATCAGGTATTTTAACCTGTCTTTGCTGAAAAAGAAATGGTGTTCAGAGGCCAAATTGTTACCAAGGCAAGGTCTTCATTGTTGCTTGTTGTATACGTTTGGTTGGCTGGTTTGGGTTAATGAGAGAGTCAGCTCTTTTATTAAGACCCAGATAAATGAGATAACTTGTTTTAGAACTCTGTGGTGTATATGAGATAGACTTCCAAAATGGAGTTTAATTTTCTGTTTTTAGGGAAGGATGATACCTTGGATCTACAGGTCCCGAGCCTGCCCAATGAGATTTCACTGTCTTGTACCATTGATTACCCAATGCCTGAAGAAAGAATTCTGAAATATGAAAGCTACTTTTCACCCTCAGAGAGATTGTCTTTGAAAAGGGAATTGAATTGGTATAGAGGCAGAAGACCAAGAACAGCTTTTACTCAAAACCAGGTGGGAAATTACTTGAACTAAGTAAGTTAAGGTTTTAACTGACATTCAATTAAGCAAAAAAAGCCCATTCATTTGGAGATCTCAACTTAGAGACCTTACTAGTGAAACAGTAGACTAACATTTTTAAAGCAGTTTATCAAGGACACAAAAGGAGCAGTATACAGATTCCTGGCTAAGGATTTTAATGCAAATGTCTTGAGAGAGAAATTGAAGCCACCTTTTGTTGACCTTCCAAATAGCATCATCTCAGAGTTGTTTCCTTGTTCTTAGATTGAAGTGCTGGAAAATGTCTTCAGAATAAACTGCTATCCTGGCATTGATATCAGAGAAGATTTAGCTCAGAAGTTGAACCTCGAGGAAGACAGGATCCAGGTAAGTTTAAAATGTCATTGTTACTCATGGTGATTAAAATGAAAAAAGTGTTTCTGAGAACTATCTTCTTTTTTTCCCTTCATTGTAGATCTGGTTCCAAAATCGACGTGCAAAACTGAAAAGATCCTATAGAGAATCACAGTTTGTAATGGCTAAAAAAAATTTCAACGCAAGTGTCTTGGAGTAGACAGAAAACTAAGCATATGGCATTACCTTCCAATTGCAGAACATTGAGAAGCAATGGAAATACCAACTGTTTAAAAATGTGGTGTGGTGTTGTCTGCATTTAATCTGAATATTGTCTTTTTTTGGGAAAAAAAACACTGTAAATAATTACTAGTACCACATGGTGCATATTATATTTGGGTAATTTTAGTTAAGGTAAAGGACTTTTCTGTATATTTTAATAAAACATTTTCAGAAAAAAATCTATTTTTAAGTGAGCAAACTTAAGCTAGTAAATTAATTTGTTAAAATCAGGAAACTAAAAAAAAAAAATCAGGAAACTGGCGAGTCAGTGACTTTACAAGTTGGATTCAGTTCATAAACTCATCCTGAGGTATAGGCCCCTAAAAAGAGTTGCACAAAGGTGTGATTTGTTCCAATTCATTTTCTTTCAAGAAAATTTTGCAATGTTTATGCTTAAGTATGTTTTAGAATATGACTTATTCATGATTCTTCAGTTTTTCTTCATTTCTGCCCTAAAGCAGTGAATTTCTTACCATCTATCAAAACAAAGTCTATGCCAATTTCAAGGATTTTTCACCCCCTTATATCAGAGCCATTATGTTAAAACACAGATGTAAAAACACCAGCTGGCTTATCCACAGAAGTGGTATTACATTGCACAGAAGAATTCAGATATAAATAAATGCAAAATTAGGATGAGACAAAAGGAGGGCATCCTCAGTAAATTGAATTCAGATCATAGAATTGTTAGGAGTGAAACTGATTTGCTGATTCCTAAGAAGTGCAAATTTTTAGTATTTTCCTAGTCCGTTTACTGTTGTACTTACCTTTCATTCATTAAAGTGGGGATGATTATCTAGCTTCAATTTCATGCTTTCCAGTCAACTGTGTATTATGTTACAAGTATTACCTATGGTAGAATAACTGCTCTGACATAGTCACTAGTAATAATCAAGGCACTTTCTGTTGAACAAAAACTAGTATTTCTTTAGCATTTGCCATTTCCCCATCATTTCTGCCAGTTAAAGAGGGGAATGGGATACGATGGTGGGAGCCTTTCCCCCTGGAGGAAAATTGTTTTCTAATTGATGGAAGACCTCAGTCAGTGCCTTTTACAGTATCAGCTTGGGTCCTCTGTCTTTGCTGGCAACTTTGTTCTTTCAAATGGAATTCTTTCTTTCCTCTTCCTTTGCCTTCTTTTCTCACCCAATGATGACCTGAGTGACAAGTTCTTGCTTACTTATTGATTGATATTGAGTCTTTACTCATTAGTGAAGGTTTTGGTAGGATTTTGTTTTCCCCTTAGGCGTGAGTAATATTGGAGGGAGGTGGTGTCTCATTCTAAGAAGACCCAAATTTTAGAATGTTTCAGAATAATTTTAAATGTGCATTTAGTGTACAGAGTTCTGCGTACCTGCACTTATGTCACCTCCGTGTGATTTACTGGCTCTGAAAACTTACTAGAGAGTTAGCTATGGGTCCATTCCAATTAATATAACATGACATGACATGACAAAACAACATAACAACAACACTGCTGGGATTAGGAACCCTGATAGCATAGTGGTTACTTGCTCAGCTGCTAGTTCCAAAGGTAAGTGGTTCAAACCCACCAGGTACCATGCAAAAGAAAGATGTAGCAATCTGCTTCTATAAAGATTGGCAGCCTTGGAAAACTTGAAGAGAAAATCTGCCATGTTGACCCTTGTACAGTCTCTAAGAATCAGAATCGATGTGATGTCCATGAGTTTGGTTGGGTTTCAGTATTGGTGAGGTGGAAGAAGATAAGGGAAAAGAGGCCAGCAGGGCTGTAACAGGAAAAGCTGAGCCATTACATGCCTCCTCTATGAAAATTGTTACTGTCCGCTCTGCCACTGTCCCACAGTCAAAAAGCTGCTTCTGTTCCTATAAAATCTGCACTAGCAGCTTCCTTTGTTCTTTATTTTACTCTTACTATACTGAAAGTCACCAGGAATAGCACAGACGGAGAAATTGTCATGTCATTTTCAAAATAACCTGTTTTTATGGACTATCAACAATTCAAGCAAAAGAGAAATAAATCTGCCTCAAATTTCATTCCTTCTATATAACCACTTCAGATATAACCACTGAGATGACCATTTCTCCCTTCTCCACCAGGACCATTTTTAATGATCTCTTCATGTATTTATAAAAATGGTGCAAGAAACAAACCCTAGAGGGTGGCCCCGTTGTTCAGCACTTTGACCAAACTTTGGCAATTTGAACCCACCAACAACCCTGTGGGGAAAAGACATCTTTGTACATGAGAGCAGAAATATTATCTCACTTGACATTCTGTCCTGCATCTTCTGGTGTCTCGTCGTGTCAGACAGGATGCATTTTTAATTCAGAAAAAAAATTTCAGGTCTTGTGAATAACAAGAAACTATTCTATAATAATATTTAAGCATTTCTAAAGTTGTGCTTTTTATACTGAGATTTTTGACAGACAATCATAGATTAATTATTGTAGATCCAATCTAGAATTAGACAGTCTAACCCTCAAATCTCTGAGAAGTATGAAGAATCTGTATGAAAGTACAGAATCAAGGAGGGGGGGAAAGTAACAACATTATAAACATTGATCAATAATTAATCTTTTCCTTATTTTTTAATTCATAAAAAACCCAGATCACACTTCTATAAAGTTCAGTGAGGAGACTCCATTACCTCAGTATTTTGCAGTAGTAGTTTCATGCAACTTTGATTACATAGTCTTGAATATATAGTCTTAACTTTGATTTTATAGTCTCTGAATATACAATCTTAAAATTTGATTTTACTTATAAGCTAAAGAAACTGCATTTATAGTTGAGGTAGTAAGTTTGTAAAGGAAATAATTTATAAATGAAACATTTTAGACATAAAAATTAGAAGTAAAAAAATTAAACATCATATTTAGAATATTAGAGAAATAACTATAAATACAACATGCATATCTTTTTCTATCTCTAGATCCTAGTAATGGGATATTCTACTATAATTTTGTGAAACAAGTTCAAAATATATGGTTTATAAGAAACAAGATAATAAACAAGTTCACTATTGTTTCTGCAAAGTCAATTAAAAACTATAAAAAGGGAAGTCCGAGCTTGTTAAAAGAAATAATGAATTTGTAACGTTTTGTTACTATAATTGTTAACAATTTGGAGAGAACATAATGATATTCGGGGGAGGGGGAGACCTGGACTTAAACTTTGAGAGAAAATCAAGCAAGATGGAAATGGAAATGAAAAACCAAGATAGAATTATCTTTCCTGCAAAATACACAAGCTCTAATCCACAGCTTATCTCTGCTCCTGGTAATTCCAGGCCTTTGTCTCCATTAATACCTAGGACAAGGTGAACAGTAGTAACAAATCAAACTAATGCGGTCAGGCTAATACCTGGAGCGTCTCTATTATCTGAAGATTGCCTAAATAAGGTTATTTGGTCTCCTGTAATGGCATTTGTCTCTTGTGAAGCCAGCCAGACAAAGCCTGTCACTAAAGAGTGCCGGTGGGAACAATGACTGTGTGTGCTGGTGGTCAGCTTTTGAGTTAATCAGTGTTAATAGCTGATTTCACCCCCTGCATCTTATCACATATCATACAAATGACACAAACCTTCCATTACCCACCCAGCACACAGCATCACCCTGGGCCTGGTGTCTCCCTCCAAAGGCAGGGAGCTGTGGGCTTGATGTGGATCCCAGTATGACAATGACTTGCTATCTCCGTTTCATGGGGGCCTGTAGGAATAAAGCCCAGTGTTAATAAACCTCCGTGTGTCTGTGGTTAAATATAATGTCCATTTGGCTGTCTCATTCCCTGCTGGGGCATCAGCCCATAGCAGCCGAGGCATCTCATCTCTTTAATTTTTTCTTTCTTTCTTGTTTTTAACTCTCATATGTCTCCTTTTTCTCTGCTAATGCCTTGGCAAGTCTGTTGGTGTTAACAAGCAAGTTGCTGTTAAACAAGTCTGTTGGTGTTAACAAGTTAAGAACCTGCAGACTAAAAATGTGGTGTTTACCTCCACTTAAGAATAGAGTCTCTGGTGTGCAATGGCTGCAAACAGCAACTCCTTGGTAGTGTTGCATGTATGGGTTGCCCTAAGGGACCTTGGAGACAACTCTTGGATGCACTTTCATTCATGCTTCTTATGTCACAAATGTCTTGTCCTCATTTAGGCTCCAGACAGGTGTGTGAGGTGCCTTTGGAAAACCCCAGGGTACAGTGGCCAGGGTTCACGTTGGCCAGGTCATTATTTCCATCCATACCAAGCTTCAGAGCAAGGAGTATGTGTTGAGGCCCTCCGCAGAGCCAAACTCAAGTTCCCCGAGAGCCAGAAGATCCATATCTCCAAGAAGTGGGCCTTTACGAAGTGTAATGATGATGAGTTTGAAAACATGGTTGGCTCAAAAGCGCCTCATTCCAGATGGTTGTGGAGTGAAATACATCTCCAGTCGTGGCACCTTGGACAAGTGGCGGGCCCTGCATTCGTAAAGACCTTGGTTAGCACTGCCTTGTCTTAGCCTGTGCGCCAATAAATTGAACTTCTTGCTCAGAAAAAAAAAAAAAAGAAGAAGAAGAAGAAGAATAGAGTCTCTAAGTATGGGGGTTGGAAACTTAGAAGCTCTTCCTCTAGGTTCCCTGAGATGGTTTGGGGGACTATCTTGTGTAATAACAGGATCATTTCAGTGAAACACATGTATGTTCTGCTCAGCATTTTACAAGGAGGTCAGGTGCTCTAATCTGATAACACATTGCGCTGTGCACCTCCTGCCATTCATAAGGTTAACGGAGGGTTGCTATGAGGTCAAATCAACTCGATGGTAGTGAGTTTGAGTTTTTGTTTGGTTTTTAGCACATTAGCAGCTTGTGAAGGATCATTTATTACATCTGATGCTATTGTTAGGTACGACTGATTCACCCACAACTAAAGGCATAGTGACCCCTGTGTACAACAGATCCAAAATGCCCATCTGAACCTGCCACAT